CCCGTGGCCAGGGGCTGGGCTCGCACGGTCAGCACGCCGGCAGCCTGGCTGTGCGTTTGGGCTTGGGGGATCTTGAGGAAAGGCCTGCGTTTTTGCAGCTTGGCAGTGGAAAGTCCTCTGCTTCTGATTAAAGAAGACGAGTAGAGAAGGAAAAGCTGGAGCACATCAAACTCGCATAACCTGTTTGAATCTCTTCTAGCTAGTTATTCCCAAATAGCTGCAGCTAAGCTATGACTTACAACTGCAGCCAAAAACTTCAGGGCTTGGCAAAGCAGGGGCTCTCACAGCTTGCTGTGACAGGAGTCAGACAAGGTATTCGAGAGGAGTCAGGAATTCCTCAGCATCCATAATAATGCACATCTGCTATTCCACACAAACAAACAAGAAATACCTCTCTCTGTAAGAAACCAGAGATGTTCTTGTACCTTCAGCTTTGAGTCTGCTTTCAGGCACTCAGCTGCAAGTTAAAAATGTTATTTCGCCCCTGTCCTTTAGCTCTGGGGTAGAAGTTTTGCACACATCAGCCCCTGCCCCAGCACCAGTCTGACGCAGCGAGGGATGGCACACCCTAATCATAGAATCATAGAATGGTTTGGGGTGGAAGGAACCTCAAAGATCATCTAGTTCCAACCCCCCTGCCATGGGCAGGGACACCCTCCACTAGACCAGGTTGCCCAAAGCCCCATCCAACCTGGCCTTGAAGACTTCCAGGGATGGGGCCTCCACAGCCTCTCTGGGCAAATGGAGGAACAGGCTTCGCAGGGGCTCCACTGCCGATGACAGGCAGCTATACTACTCACTAATTTACACAGATATGCCTTTCTGGTTCTCATCCTTTCGTCTGTAGCTGGAAACTTGGTGGTACGTTTGTGGTTTAAAGCCTTTTGCTAGCCCTGCAAACCGAGCTGTGGCTGGGGGGAGCTGGCGGGGAGGCAGAGTTTCACAGAGTGTGGCTGACCAATGTGTTTGCTCTAGGCCAACATTTCCAAAACAAGCCACAGAATGACTCTGGAAAAGGTATTAGAAGGGTGTTTTACAGAATGTACCTCTCTCTTGGCAATTTCCCTTGGTATATTTGAGGTTTGTAGCTTTAGGCTGGAATATAGACTGCAACATAGCAAGTATCAGAAGCGTAAATAAATTGTGGCACTGTATGAGTTTTCTGGTTTGAGATATCTTTACAATGTGCATACATGCATAGAACATGGTTGCAAAAACCAGGTCTATCACATGTTCTGGTGTAGAAATAACTGCTGAGAAAATCTGAAATGGTCTCTCGGAACAACTTTTTATTCCTTGATCTTATGCATGAAGTAGGTAACATGCTGAACAGAGGGATTAGTAAACTAAATGCTTGCTGTGTTTTTTATACAGCTAAGCACCTCGTTCATCTAATAATTTATGTCTTCCTTTAGATATGGTGTATCAATAAAGTTCAATAAGGCAAAATGATAGATTGAGGATAGATAGATAGATAGAGGGTCTTCATCCCCACTTTGTAATCAAGCGATATGTACTGCAGTTGCAAAGTTACTGCAGTATTACTGCTACAACTATTGCTACAAACCATCAAAAATAACGTGTGATCCCTCCGGGGATAAATGTTAGTGGAAATCAGAAGATCAGCCATAATTGTACCTTTGACGCAGCCTTGATGTAAGAAGGTAGAAAGCCTGAGCTGGTTTCTCAATTAGGTGAATTTTTGGAGAACAAGACATTGCCTGTGATGGCCTTGTTTTCCAGATGACAGGAGAATGTTTTAGGCTCTAGATCTATGCATAATCATGCAGTTTCAAAAGCGATACACACATTAAAAATGAAAAAGCGAGAGAAGCACAGTCATTTCAACTGTAATGGGATAAGTGAGCTGATTGAGGAAGGATAACAAGCCAGATCAGAGAGAAACATATTTGGAAGTGTGAAAACCCCAAGTAACTTTGCATGTGTTTGTCTCCTAATGTAACTCACCATTGAAAGTAGAAACAGCAAAATATTGTGGGGAAGTCCTGACCAAGCTCAGAAACTAATCTATGGTCTGTTAAATGTTGCATCCTATTTCTAACATAGGATAAATTAAACTTCTAATATTTGCAGAGACAAACAAAAAACTGGTGTATCAGACAACTATTAAAAGCACAAACGTCAAAGTAATTAATAGCCACTAGCATTAACTGTTGCATGATATGAACAGAGTATTTTTTAATGTATTTTTGGATACATGTAATCTCAGAAATAGATCTACAGTATTACAAAGTTACTATGAATACTACATGTTCATTAGTAAAAAAAAAAAAGCCATCTTCCTTACCTGCTATTGCTTCAAGACTAGGGATTGCAATAGTGCTGTAAGTGCTAATACATTTACAGGACCACGTGTGAACTAAGGTTTCCTCTGCATTTTCCAGACCTGGCAATCTGTCCATGAAGAAAGAACCCCACTGTTTAGACACAAAGTAAGGAGCTTTGAGCTGATCACCCTGAAAGAAAAAATAAATAAATATGTAATCTTAAAAAAAGAAAAAGAAATCTTCTTTCTCTATCCAGCCATAAGCATTAGTTTAAGGAACTCTAGTGTTCCTCTGATTTTCTGGGAAAACTGTATTCTATCTCAGGAGCAATGTGACTTGAAAATATACAGAAAAACAAGAACAATCTTGCTCCCATAAGTCCTCAAGCTCCTATTTATGTAATTTATGGATTCCCTAGGACATAAAAAATTGGCTTTATATATTTTTCCATTAAAAAATCTTCTCCTTTCCCCATTTTTCTGTTTTCAATAGTGTGAAAGCCTGCTGCCTTTGCTGGAGAAGCTGGGTAGCTGCAGCCCAAACTGTAACCCAGCCTGGACCTCCGCCTGGGAGAAAGGAGTCTCCTGGTGCTGGATGAAGTAACTGCAAGGAACGCATCATGCCACCTGTGTCATGTTATCTGTTTCTGAGCTGAGGAATGAGTGAGAAAAGAGCCGCATGGAGAGCCATTCAGTTGCCTAGCAAATTGTGACAAATTGATTTTTTTTCATGTATATTTTCAGACAACAACATGTAGACTCATTATGTTTTAAAGAAAACATTAAAGCGGCATTGGGAAAACTGATTTTTTTAGCAGTTCATCTTGAAATCTGCTATATATTGCCATAAGCAAAGCTCCAGGAGGCCTCTACAGAAAGATGAAAAAATGGAAAACAAAACTGTGAAATACACTATAGAAAATCTGTTGAAGTAATTTGTGTGCAAAGTAACTTTTCAGACCAGCAAAGCATAGAAGAACAGATATCCTAGCATGTGCCTCCAGATTCGTGAACTTTTGTACTTTATTTTCCATTTAACCCCTTTCTTAATAGTTTTGAGAATCTGTTGGAATAATTTGTGTTTATGACAGAGGTCTGTGGCTTTTGATCACAAGAAAGCTGTTGATCCAGCCAAACAGACCATGTCAGTAAACACAGAGCCATTCTTTTTGTGATTCTCTATAACAGTTTTTTCTCTGAGCATAGCTGGGGTGGGAGGAAGTATTGATTTGGACAAAAACAGATATTGGTTTCTGTCTTCTGATGTGAATAGGTTGGAAAAAAACCTCCCCATATCTTTTGTTTCAAAACCAGTAGTTAAGAGCTGCACTCTTTTGTGTTACTCTTTTTTGCCTCACACACAGGAACAGCATCTCACTTTTTTTTTTCCCCCCAATCTTATCTTTCCATGCAAATCCTAGGACTTTATAATTAAATGTAGATGCCATGCTGAATTAAAATCCATTTCCCAGCTGGATGACACATGCAGAAAACTCTTAAGGCTGTTACAGCTGTTCAGGTGATTAACCAAAACAACAGCCCCAGTACTGGCCCAAATAAGCATATGCACAAAAGACAGGGCCTTGTTTATTGGCAAGAGAAAAAATCTGAGGTTTCTGCTTTTTGAAATGTATGACTGGTTCAATAGGTAATTAAAATTGCAATCTGAGGAAATGAAACAATTTTTTCAGAGGTCTGATTCTCAGAGTGGGTATTTCTTCCTTATTAAGGAGGAGGGAGTTACATTTTGAATTTACAGCCCAAGCCCTTAGTAAAACCAAACCCAGTTAGATATGAAAGTTTTCATCAAGGCACCTGGTAGAGAACTCCCATCATTTTGCTACTGGCTTATCTCCATATGACAGGAGCAGTTTGATAGGCTAAATCTTGATCTCAAATCTGAAAAGAGCTGTCAAAACTTTGCCAACATCCTTAGGAAACATCAGACATCGCTCCCCCTGCCATCCCTAACTGATGCGTACAAGATGTTCATATCTCCTCTGCAGCATACCTAGCCTGCAGTGAAGGACAGACCACGTACCATGAATACTGTGAAATGGGGCAAAAGTCCCCTGTTAACATTGCTACTTCTCACACGCCTGGAGGCACACATTCAACAGTGGGGCAAAGGAGCTCTGCAAGGTGCACCAGCCACTCCTGTAGTCCCCAGACAGGCAGCAGGGCAGTAGATCCTGGGAACTGCTGAGCAATCCCTCTTTCTTATGCAAAACCCCCAAATATGTGGTTTTTCTCTCAGGCATATTGGCCAGACAGTAGCAGGTCAGATGTTGATTGTGTCAGTTGAGGGTACAAAGTGTCAAAGACTACGGTCTAGACTTCAGAGGAATAATGATAGTACGAGTCCCAGGGCTTTCCACCAAGTTAAACCACCTGGAATACTTGCTATCACCTTTGCTTTATTAAGTGCAGATGAATAGGGCCTGTTAACAGTGCAGACAGAATCAGTTAATAGGACCCTTGGGTAACACTGATTTCTCAGCTTACAAATGACCTTTCTAAAATACATATAGGCAGGGAGCTGAGCACTGAAGTTTTTCTACATTTGGTAGAGAGATGAAAGAAAGAAGGATGTAAAGGAGACAGGAGCAAAAAATCAAGCTGTTAGTATTTTTTAAAGGCATTATTTAGATGGAGATTTGCCATCTATGCCATCGTCTTTGTACCAAGCGCAGAGCACTGCATCCAATATGACGGATGGTACTGATGGCCGTGTGCTTTGTGCCAAGGTAGTAACACCACCACTGACTCATAGTGCCAGAAAAAATCAATGCTTGGAATACATTTTTGCCGGTATAACGGCAAGTTTTTGAAGTGTTTCTGCAAGCACAGCTGTGCTGGTCACAACAACCAGATGTCCCTGAATAACACACCCATGCTGGGTGTGCAAATGAGCAAGCCTGTCACCGGTCTAACTTTTGCTCAGAACCTGCCCCACACAAGTCATGTGCAAATATAAAACATTTCACCCATGATCATTGTACCTAAACCACAACATGGATCACTTTAAGCAGACTTTAAAATAAAATGCATTTCACTTCAGGATATTGCTTTAAGGATACTGCTTTAAATCACCGGGCTTCACAAAAGCCCATCAGGTTGTTCCTGAAAGCGCTGTTAGATTTGTGTTAAAGATAAATGGGAATAAAGAGACAAACAGAGCCAAAAGTCACAGAGTAATTAGTCTTGTCTATGGGAGTCCCGGAAGTTTGGGGAATTAAGGGCCCTGACCCCCTCCTAGCCAGCCACTAGGCAATACTGTAAAAATGAGTATTTCCTTCTAACTGCAGAAGTATCATCTATATCCGCCAATAAATGCTTCGATTTCTGCTCCATTCATTACTATAGCCCAAGGTTTTTACACACTGACTAGCTCCTCTGTAATCATTTCCCTCGAAATTCTGGGACAAATTCCAGCTTTTCCTGGAGTTTTCATTGATGAAATTGATCACACATTTAAAGAACAGAAGGCAAACCCAAAGCTTCCAGCCAAGCAAACAAACCCCCAGATCTGGGAGGAATCTTGTTTCAACACAATGCTTGGTATTTTTTTCCCCCCTGCATGCTGCAATTCACTTAGGAGCCAAGTAATTGCATGAATAGTTTTTAGTTTGCTATTCTCTTGCTCATTTGGTTATGACTCATATACTTCAAAGAACTGCAGTTGTTACCATAATTTCACAGTTATGTGTATCTGGCTTATATCAAGCATTTAATTGAAGGGAAAAGACAAAAACTGCTAATGCAAATGGAAATTACTAGCCTCCCGGTTTATGTGAGAGGAGGTTGTTTTCTTCCCCTCTCTCTGTTAGTGATGAAATACCAGTCAAACAACTGAAAATAGGATTTTGTAATTTATTTCTGAAAAATGCAATTGCAAATTAGAAGCAATACTTTATTTTTTAATAATATTTTGTAAAGATTGATAGAAGGGAGGATTGCATCTTGTATGAACGTTTCAGTCCCTCTCTGCACACACAGCATGGCATAGAAAATCTGCAGTAGTAGCGTTTTTTTTTTTTTTATTGCCAGTGAATGAGAAGACTGATGAATAGGACTAAATCTAATTTGTTAGTGCCTAATTTTCAAAGAACACCTGACTTTGAGTTGGCTTTTCTCTCCTCTTAACCAAAAGGTTAACAGGAGAAGTTGATTAGGTGAATGAAAATAAAACTTTCATAGGCCTGTAAAGGGAGTCCCTTTGAACTAGTCCTGTTAAGTTAGTGGTGTCCAGTCAACTGCAGAGATATGGATGTGACCCGTCGTTCAGACTCCAGTGAGCAGCGTGGTAATGAAATAACACCACTGACCTGCCACGGCCCCCCTGGTTCAGGTTCCTTTAATCAATGCAATTCATTTCTCCCTTGCTTGCTTGCTGTCACTGGTAGCGGATGTAAACCGAACAGGGGTTGTGGGTGGCAGGGGTGGTGTCTCCCCGAGATACTGCAATCTCTTATCAGGGATACTGTAGTGTTAGTGAAATGTCAAGCACCTGTCTAAAAGTCTCAATTTCCTGCTTGATAACTGCAGCGATAGAGGAAATGGATCTTGTGAGCAGTACACCAGAGGTATTGCAACAAGATAAAACCAAGTCATCATCAAGGGCTTAGAAACACATCACTCAATACCCCTTTCCTTGTATTTCTAGGAAAAGAAACATTTTCTGGCTGTCTGTTTAAAAACGTGTGCTTCAAAAGCACATACTGAACATGCTTAAGAAACCATGGTTGAATAAAAACCCCCAAACCTTACAGACATGTAAGCAGAAATGCAGCAGAGTCTCCAGTCAGAGAATGAACAAATTTGTGGAGGAGAATGAGTTATTTTTATAGCATTAAATAATTAAATCAAATTATATTAACCTATGTAGCACTACTACTCACTCTTCCTTTCCTTTCCCCCTTTCTTACTGAGAAACACATTTTTCTTGACAGGAGACTTGAGTTTGTTTTCATTTTTGTTTTTCTACAACCCAGGAAAAAGCCTAAATATTAATGATTACATTATTTCAGGGACTGAAATGTCCTTGTCTGACCTAAGTTTAGAAATCAGGACAGAGGGGGAAAATATTGGATACATCTATTAAAAAAAGTAGAGAAATAGGAGTCACATCTATATTGTTTTAGTCCCATTGAAGGAATCATTTTCTCCACTAAAAACAAGGGCTTTTGAAACACTTCTTAGATTAAAAACATCTCTACTACAAAATCTCACAAAAATCTTCCCATCAGTAAGTTAACTTTTTAATCACAAGGTGTAATTATTTAAAAAAAAAAAAAAGTTAAGTGCTTTTCAAAGCAAAGTTGAAAATACATATCTACATCTCTGCAATTAGAAAGAAATGACCTCTTTATTTAGGAACATAAGAAAAAAAGAAACACTCCAAACGGCAAGTGAAGCTGCTCTGTAGTTCCTACATAGAACACCCTGGAGATACAACGCCGCTGCCTCGGCCATCCGAGCGCCATTCCTTATTGACTTTATTCTTTGGCAGCAGAGAGAAGGATAAAGCGTAGTGACCTTCCATCTTCTGGGGAGGGGATTAAAGCGTGGCAGTTGCACTAAGGCAACTTCTCAGGTGTGATCAACCTGAAAATTTCATTATTTATCTGATATCAGTAGTCTGCATTGGACTAGACTTTGAAACAGCCCCTCTTATCTGAGCGCAGCTGTCACCAAAATAAACAACCTACGAGGGAAGCAGCAAATTAAAAGTTCTTTGTATATAAGGAAAGCACAAGCAAACTGTATTTCATGGAGAGAGAAAGAGAGCTTTAAAACAACCTAAAAAAAGGTTCCTCCGTGTTTACAGTTGGCCATGACATGCAGGGAAACGTCGTGAACTCGGCAAGGTTCAGGTGCTGGATTTGTAATAAACGGCCATGAAATTTGTCCTTGTAGGACACAGGACAGGTTCTTGTTACTGAAGACTATGTTTTTTGGTTAAGGGACTGCACATACAGCTCTTTTTTTCTGAGATCTGTGATTTAGCTCCAGGTAGAGGCTCTGTGCCACCCATGCAGCGCTGAGCTGGGACAGGACGGCACCTCCTAGTGTGGCCAGGAGGGTACATCTGCGAGGGATGCTGATGCTGACAGCAGCCTGGTAAGATAAGCAGGCTCATACTCAGTGCAGGTGGCATGAGGCTTTTTTGTAACTTACTTTCTTCTGTTCCAGGAAACATCTGCAAGGAACCCTTACCTCATATTTTCCTTTCTTCTCCAAGGGCTCCGATTCAGCCTCCACAGACACCGTAACTTTGTCCCCTAGAAGCTCCTCTAAGATGAAGACGGTTTCCCAGTTGCTATAGTGACGTGCTGGGAAAATATCTGAGTGCATGCTGTCACCAAAATAAACAACCTACAAGGGAAGCAGCAAATTAAAAGTTCGTTGTATATGAGGAAAACATAAGCAAACTGTATTTCACAGAGAGAGAAAAAGAACTTTAAAACAACCTAATAAAAATTCCTCCATGTTTATAGTTGGCCGTGACACACAGAGATGTTATTAATGTCACAGTTTGGGGTTTTATCTTCAACCAGCTCCGTAAGAAAAAGGCTGGCCCCGCACATCCTCCTCGCTCTTACCCTCCAGGGGCGTTGCACAGGGATGCCTGGCTGGGGCTGGCACACGGGACGCCGCTGAGATTTTTGACTGACAGAAATAGCCTGCCAGGGAGCAGTGGAAAAGACTACCAAGAAAATACACTAAACAACAGGAATGAATTTTGGACAACTTTGGAAACAAGGGGAAACACAGAGAATCTCTTGGCTCAGAGCTCTTCTGTGCCCAGGGGGTAATCTACCCACTAGGGAAAATGTGGTCCCACCATCTTCAGTGGCATTTTCACCCACCCAGGCCTGTAATTAAAATAACACGATCCTAGTTTTCACTGATGCGACCTTTTAATCGATTTGATCTGCTTCCTCAGGGAAATTGTTTATGTCCTGATTACAGTCTGATTCTCCTCAAAGTTGCCAAAATGCATGACCATGCACACAGAATAAAAGATCTAGACAGTTTACATATTCTACTGATAAGAAGACTAATATTCTGCTTCCAGTTCTGGACTGCAGTCTGTTAGACAACAGCAAGAATAACCAGATCAAAAACTTGTGATCAATCATATCAATAACTTTAATGAAAGCTTGTCTGGTGAATTTTAGACTGAAGCAGGGTATTCTTAGAAAGATTTACTCTCACTTATAACATACCTTGGGATCCAACTTGCCAGTCATCTTCTTGAGTAGTTCATAAAGCTGGATAGCGTTACCTTGGGAATACCAGCCAGGCTTGTCCAGTGATAGCAGAGCCTCCTGCTCCTCATCATTCTCTGAAATCACCAAGCAAAATCACTCATTGTTAGTGAGAACAGCCCATGCTCCTGTATTCGTGAGATGTGTGAGAAGCTGCCTGTGCACAGCTTGGAGATCGTGGTCCATTTTGACATTAAACCAGCTCCAGTGTCTGGCTCAAGTCCTGGTACTGACTGTGGGTTCAGTCAAGGTGTTTGGTAGCTGGGCGTAGGCAGGCATTTGTGAGGAAAGAAGCAGCTGAGCCTCATCTGCAAGAGCTACAGAAGAGCTGAGGAATCAAAGTCATAGGCTTTGCCTCCCAAACATGGCAGCAGTGAAGGCAGGAAACCACACGGACCAGACTGATGGAGAAACTGCTACAGATCTAAGGTGAAACCATGAGATAAGACAGACCGTGAGAGACAGCATGTATGTTTCCCCACAGACAAATTACCTAATGCTTTTAAACACTGACAGAAATACAACAAAACAGACTGAGGTAGCTCTTACGGGCATTCACCAGCCTTAGATCAGCACAAACAATGAGCAGTTCCCAGTTATCATCCAGTTTTGAAGAAATGACGAGAGGACAATATTGCTGCTGGTGGTGTAAGCCACGTTGGCATATATCCACACTGGCAGCTGTCAATGAACTGGAGACATCAGTAGAAGCTGAAACTCCCTGGTCAGCACCCAGCTGTGCCGTAGGCTTCACTTCTACCTGGTCCCAAAGCGGCTGGATCTGTCCTGGTGTCCAGGTAACCTTATTGTTCATTCAGATCCATGTGCTATTGCCAGATGAACTCCTTTTAGCTTCTTGCTGGAGCCAAAATACTAGCCTTAGTGAAGCGATAAACTAGAATTTAATCAGAAATATTAATATTAATGTCTTCTGTCCATTGAAGTGGTTAAACAAAAGGGTGGTTTTGTTATTCAGTCTCAAACATGTCTTATTTTTTATGATAGTGACAGAGGGGTTAGCAGCCAATACAGTACTTTGATCTGACTTAGGTGTAACATCAGGACTTCAGTTTTTCTCCTGCTTTATATAATTTTTCAAAGTACTTGAAATTTGTTAGGAAGAGAACTAAGACAGAGCAAACTTCATTTGGTTAGAGACTGCTGAAAGCTGGAATGCTAATTTTGGAGAACAGTGAAATGACAAGACAACTTTATGTTTAAGAGCACTGAAGATGTACATGGTGCAGCACATTGGTCCTTGAAAAATAAAAAAAGAAGGAAAAAGAGGCAAATAGGTATGGGGAAAGAGGCAGTAAATCATTCTCTAGCATTATGAATACAAGAACTTGAATAAACACAGGATTTATTCTCAGACAAAACAATTCTATATTAAGGGTGTTTTATAAACTAGGAAAAAACAAGGAAATTCAAAGTTGACACTAACAATTCACATAGAACTTGTGTGGAAATGTATTTTCCTTTGTTCTTCTTCAGAAACCTTATAAGAATATTAAGTATGATAGCATCCATAAAAAAAAATAATCTTCATTTCCTGAATTTTAAAATAGTTTTGACCAAACAACTTTTGATCAAACAGAAGTCGTCAAACTTCAGCAAATTTGTTTTATTTTCCTTGTATTTTTAGACATATTTGTAAGGCTGGCTGAACAAGTAGACACAATCTTCAAATGATATGGACGTAGAAAAAGAAACTCATGAAGACAACTCTTTTGAGCTGCTATCACAAGTTTCTCAAAATTTGTGAAGGTTTGTATAGCTATCATTGTCTCTCCATTCAGTCAATCAGGAAAATACTAGAGAAAAATGGAGCTATTATGAGAAGGATTTTCAGAATACCATTTGCAAATAGGAGCCCTATGTATTACAGCAGCACCAGAAGGCCCCAGCAAAGAGCAAGACCCCGCTTTGCTACCTCTATGGAAAGGCATGAGGGGCAGTCCTGACTGAAAAAAATCACGCTAATTACAAGGTGGAAGATCTCTCTGTGAGATCTATTACTGTCACCCCTAGCAATGGGATTCATCTCACTTAACTCGATGCATCCGGAATTGAGGTTTCTAATTTACAGTTACAGTCTGAACTAGTTGGCCAGGTTCCCTCAGTAGGCAAAAGAGTGTAAGAAGCACTTTCTAGAGGTGTCAGTTCTGGAGAAGGAAAGGATTTAATTAAGTTAGGAACTTTGCTTTTAGGCAATGAAATGAAGGGAAATTTCAAAGCCTGGTTTCCTCTTCTGTGCTTGGAGGCAGCAAACAGCATTGAGATGTCTAATTCATTATGGGAACACCTTGATTTTGGAAGGATCTTCAGAAATCTGAGGAATTAGACCTTTTAAAATATTTGAGTTGTAGGGTTATAGGGATAATGACTCTCAACTGGTAAATCTTGCCTTGAACCATCTCATATGGTTGCTTGTGCTCACACATCTAGGGGTGACTCTGTCAATTTTATTTCTGTAATCTCAAGTGGGAGGAAATTAACGGTGTTTCATTTGTAGTGAGTCATTAACTAGAAGGGTTTCTAATCCACTTATACTTTCCCTGTGGCAAAATATAGTCAAGAAAATTATTCTTCAGCACTGGCTCTTAAGGCCTTTTGTAGTAGTTCAGCCATGTCAAAATTGATATGCAACAACTTAAAAATCCATTAATGACACCATTGGCTCTGGCCTTGTGTTGTATCCTTCAGATAGCAGTTACATGACAGCTCTGAAGGAATCTGCAAATTTCCTGCAAAAATGCTGCATAAACATGCTTATGGTGGTTCCTAATATATTTTAGATAATCCAAGCCTAACGTCGGCTAAACTTAGACAAGAGAAAAACTGCTGCTGACCTTCCTTCCACTTTGCAGGTATTGATTTGTAAAAGTTCATTCAAAGGTCAGAAATGCTATAAATATTCCTCCAGCAGGAAGCAACACATATATAGGCAGGGATGCTAAATCCTTCAGGTCTTATAAGCTGGGAGGAAAAGGAGACATCCTGACAATTTTAAGCAGACTGGATAACCAAAAAGAATTTCTCAGATGATTTAGATAGAGCAACTTGCTTCCTTCTGAAGTCTAATATATCACTGCAACCTGGATTCCTGTAGACTAAAAACATGCCACAACAAGAAATGTAAAGGTAGCAAGCAAGTAAAATTAAAAATAATTAAACTGAGAAAATCATTCTATAGAACACTCACCCCAACCTCAACAGTGATTCAGAGCAATTTTCTGAGGGGAAGTTACCGTTCCTTTTTAAAAACAACACCAAAAAGTTTGACTCATGCTAGGGCAATATTAATATTGCTGGAAAGGCAATTTACATGTTGCTGTGTCTAAGAGCTTGGGAAATGTTTTCTGATTCAGAAATGTACTCCCATCACCATTAGCAGATACAGTTTTTCAGACAAACCTATTCACTAAGAAGACTCAATATCCTTTTTCTTGTGAGAATTTTCTTGCCTGCCTTTAAATGTGCATTGCCGGTTTATAACATGGGCTGAGGAACATCTGGTTTCATTCTGAATGAATATGCAAAAAGTAATCGGTGAAGCTTATTCCCCTTTAAATGACAACTGATGGTAATTTACTTTGGCATGGAGTTGCTCCTTGGGAAAGACTCTGCACACGCTTGCTTACTGCCGTCGGCTTTGTTATCCTTTTATGGGTTATACCCGCCGAGATGGAAACCTGAGCAGATGCAGTGCTGAGGTTGTGTCCACATTGCATGTTCAGCCCAGGATCTGAACCTGGAGCTCTATCCCTAACCTGGCTGGCGTTTGCACTCTTAAACCCTGGCCCATGGCACGGGGCTCTCATTTGGGAAGCCTAAGTTTAAGAGAGAAGCTAAGAGGTGAGGGCGAATTTATGCTTTGACAGTTATTCACCTATACTCAGCCACACCTACACTGAGAATTTTCAACAGCTCACCACCCCTGAGGCCACCACCCTGTGCTGCTCCTCCGGTTAGGGGTTGGGTGCCCTACGGCGAGTGTTGGCTACCCATCGGGGCGAGGACCCATAGGTGACTCACCTGAGAGCCTGAGGACACCTCACACTTACTTGACTGGGCAGAGACTGGGGTAAGAAATCAACTCCAAGTGCCCGCACACCCTGCCAACCGAAGTTGTGCTAGGTTTAACTGCAGAGTGTGTACAGCTCCCCAGCACCCCGTTCCCTCTTCTGCCTTCCTATCTTTCTCCTGACAGACTTTTACTCCTTTCCATACAAATCTAGTTAGACCAGCTATTAGGGTTATTGATATTTTTTGTTCCTTTGAACTGTGCAATAGAATAAAAACATGTGGTGGTGACTGTTGCTGCTCATGCCCGTACCTGCTCCTGCCTCTTCCTCCTGATGGGCAGCTCTTGCAGGCTCTCACCGCATGCAGACACTTGGTACAGATGGACATACATGTCTGGCACACTGAAGTCCTGGTTACCGCCTCAGGGGGCTTGTAATACAAGTAAATTTTATGATCCACAACTATCATGCTGATATGCCTCTCTGAAATTTAAAATAATGTCATTTCAGGCCCCAAGGGCATTAATATAAAAGCTGGGTTATGTTCCAGCCTGGCTTGCAAGCACAATCTGATTCTAGATGGCATACTGAGTTCATCTCAGAAACGCAAACTCTCTTTTCCAGAAGGGAGGTGAGGGCAGGAAACCACATCATTTTACAGTCAAGACAAAGGGACCTGCATAAGTAAAATCCTTCTGATGGGTTCTTCCAGTTGTAAAGGTAATGAGATGGGATGACACAAGCTGTAGAGTTCCCCTGTGAGCATGCTCTCCATTAAGAAAGTAGGCACGTACAAGCTTGCTGGGGGTACAATGCCATACCCTGTGGGCACCCTTCCGTAGGGTAGTGTCCCAAGTGCCTTTGTATAGACCAACCACCTTTCCCAGGTGGTTTCCAGGGTTCGTGCAGATGTTAGTATGTTTTGCCATCTCTGAATGACGTCTGTGCCCTGGAAGCAGCTGTGAAATCCATTGACCTGGCACATGCACCAGCGCTTCCCAGTCTCCTGTCTGACTGGATGACTGCTGGGAAGTGATAAGGAACAAATTAGTCCCTTAGCATGATGCCTTGAAATAAAAGGTTAAGGCTTCCCAAAGTGAATAGTGATTTTGGCCGTCTCCATTTTTGGCTGTCCAATCTGATGTTTTTCAGAAAAATTGTGAAGATCAGCTCCCCTTCCTGCCCTTGAATCATTCTGCCTTCTTTGGGGTAGCTTATGACTGGTGAGACTAAGGCTGAACTAATCAAAGTAAAAATTCACTTTTAAAAACTGGAACATGAGTTTTAATTTTACATAGGCAGTGATACATCTTTCTTATGCTTAGCAATCCCAACATATATGTGCTCATTCATATGAAGGATTAAATAACAGGTACTACTAAAAGCTAGCAATATTCCAAAAGAATAGATAAAGCTGAGAGAAAAATACAGATACTGTTCTGTGAAAAAAAGGGAACTATTTCATAATATTCACAAGTGCTACTTATCCAATCACTAACTATTCCTTTTCTCACAATGAACTTCTGTTCTTTCGCTCATTTATAAGGCCTGATAAGACCAAAGTACAAGATAGTGTACTTTCAAATTGCCCTGGGCATATAAGAATCACAGACTCCTTAGAGAAGAGAAATAAATAATAATAATAATAGGTGTTACATTTTTAGTTTTTCTAAAACTTTTGTACTTTTTATCAAAATCTGCCTTACTGCTTAATTGTGCCAAGCAACAGGCTATGTAGCAACAAGATTGAAGTTTTACTTCTTTGTAAGAAAATCAATATTTCCTT